GTTATAGAGAACAGACCGGTTAGTACTACAACTAGTGGGTGGGGCGACAGATTGTACACATTTTCTAAAACAGGCAGGTCTCAAAATTCTGTTCCATTGACTCCCATTTCTGATCCTCTCGTTCAGAAGAATCTGCTCCCAGCAATGACCTCAAAAGTCAGGATGTTAACTATTGTAATAATATTGCTAGAATTTTTGCTCTTGAAATAAGATGCCTTTATATTTCATTAATTAATATCTTTGGCAAGTTAGTAATTTCAATCATATTCACATATATAGTGTGCACTAAATCAACTTAGTCTGTAACTGACAGTTGACACATAAAAAAGAGTTATTTATCGAAAACATATGTCACTCATTTACCACCAGGATTACACGTGAGTGGAATTATTCTAATTGCATCATTTAGCTTAAAGTAACCATTCATATCTTTAATTACACAAGTTCAGGGCCACGATCACACTTGATTGTGCGTGATATTCATATGGTTATAAGAGAAACCGGGGAACCCTGTAAGTCAGACTTGCATTAGATTCCAGAGATCGAGGGTACATCTGAGTTCCTAGACAGCCGAGAGGCTGGATAGGGTGGAGAAGTGGTTTTAGCTATATAGTATTGTAATTTGTGCTATGCTTGTATACCTGTATTCAGTTATATGCTATATAAAATGTAGAAGCGAACTATGCATTATTATTCCTGGTAAGACAAATGTCTTAAGAAACTAGAAGAAGTAAATACACAACGTGAAGCAGAAGTAAAGACAGCTAGAGACAAATCCTAGACGATCACAAGGCTACAGAAATATGTAGTAAGAAAAGATGCATGGGTCATACGTAGGATGTGGCGACCGGTTTCCCATAGACGCTCTCCACGTCAGACAGAAGGCTCATGGTGCTACACTATTGACTCAAATTTTCTGAGAGGGAAAACCCTCACCCGCCCCACCCCCTTTCAGGTTGCTCAGTGTTACAGTCACTTCTTTACGATGGCCAACTGGGTAAGACGCTGGTTCGCTAACCTAGAGGTCGGGTGTTCGATCCCTGCATTGGCCGAGAAAGTTCATCCAGATTTTCCGGCGTGGTTCTCCCTTGTAAGTAATGTAAGTCCCGTGTACACATTGGCGTGCACGTAAATGATCCCTTTACAGTTGGAATTCGATATAAGAGTAGGCCGCTTTCCGGGCAAAATATCCCCCATAGCACACTGTATGGTGTATGCCCGTCTTCATTAGCCCAGTTCGGAGCAGAACAGTAGGACGTTAAACTCCATTCCATTCCATTTCATTTCATTTCATTTCTTTAAATATTTTAGCCAGTTTCCATTGTCCTGTGTATCCAGCTAGTCTTTTATTTCCAGTGGTTATAATTACTTAAGTTTTTTGTTTAAAGATGCTATTTTAAGATCGTGAGTAGATTTCGGTATCTTGGTAACCTGGTTTATTGATCCTTGGTCACTAACTTTACTCCCTTGTAGTCTATCAAACTTTCGACATCTATCATCAGTTACAGCACAATTAATGATTTATTTGAAGGTAGGTTTAATATTTGTTTAAATTGACAAAAGATGTTAAACTATATAAATAATTACGGATCTGTTATTTGGGACCCTTATTTAGTAAAGGACATTAAATCCCTGGAAAAGGTACAGCGACACGCAGCTAGATTTATAACGAAAGATTATAAATCCAGGAATGATGATTGCGTCCAAGATATGCTACAGAAACTCAACCTTGACACGCTGCAAAACCGAAGACGTCACTCAAGGTTAGTGTTACTCTTCAAGATTATTCGGGGTATGGTGTCGGAAATAGACAATTCAACATATTTGACCCCATTAAAAACAAGAGACGCATCAAAACAAAAAAATTCAGTGACAATCAAAGTACTAATATCGTCGAAAAATTCAGTGTGAATCATCCAAACTGTTTTAAAGCAAAAGACTCCAATACAAAACAATTTAAAAACTCTTTTTTTCATTAAGGCAGTGCAGGACTGGAACAGCCTTGAAGAGAGTGTGGCATGTGCAGAGTCAGTGGAGAGTTTTAAAGCAGCTCTCTAGGGCGCAACAAAGTAGACAACACTCACTCCCGACGCGTTATACCAGAAGTGGTTCCTGCGTCGTATATATATATATACAGATACAGATAAACTAAACTAATTAATTAAATAAGTATTTTAGTAGTAAATATCAAGAGAATATAGCAAGTTAATATCTTTATAAAATAGACAACTTTATATTTCATAATTATATAATAAATGATTAAATGTATATATATATTATCCCCTGTGTTATGTTTTGTTAATTGTGATGTCTCATTGTTTTATAGTGTTTCTAATTGTGTTTGTGCTACTGAATGCGCTATAAAGTCTACCACTCTGGTCATATTTATTTACCCATCAAGCACCTGTCCTAGGGTATGTTTGATATGTTTATCCGTATTTATATCTGTATGCTATAACTGGTAAATGTAAATGGATAATCCTTACATTTTAATACATGATACAGTACTTATACTTTAACTTGATCCTTTCTCTATTATTAATTAGCAGAATGCGTCGCTTATAAATAATATAAATATTAATGACTTGTTCCTTTTGTAAATAATCATTTTGTATCTTTTCAGTGTTTTTGTTGGGTGTATTTTGTCCTGTAATAACCGGTCATGTTGTCAATTGTCCCTTCGGCTTGGAGTCGATCTAGGCTGCAAGGAGTCTACCGTCTTGCAGGTGAGACGTTTTAACCCTGTTTTACATCCTACCTGGCAATTGCCGATCTTTCATTATGGATGGAGCAAGTGAAGTTCTGGTAGCTTTGCGACTGATCAATGAGGAACGTTAATAAAATGTTCTTATTTTTTTAATAATCTGGGTATAGCCCGAGAAGCTTACAGGGGTTTTCTTATATTGTTATAGAAAACCATTTTCGATTTGAAGGGATTTGACTATAAATTAGACTGAACGCACAACTCGGGTCGTGCATTTAGGGTTTCACACTTCGAAATGAAATGAAATGGGGTTTAACGTCCTACTGTTCTGCTCTGAACTGGGCTAATGAAGACGGGCATTTTTGCCCGGACAGCGGCACTCCGGCCTACTCTTATATCGAATTCCAACTGTCAAGGGATCTTTTACATGCACGCCAAAGTGTACACGGCACCTCAGTTTTCGTCACATCCGAAACAATACAAAACTGCGGAAATGCCCTGCTGTTTTTATTCGAGGTAACCAGTGTATGTTAATAACTGACCAATTGCCTACACATGAACATAAACAGTTCATATAGGCGGCTTATCTGACGGCCCCATTTCACTCGCAAAGAGATACACTGTCAAAAGTGAAAATGGACGTTTTTGATTTTTGTCGTAATAATGAGTAATTGCTCCACCAATCCTCAGACATTCAGCAATTTGTCGTGGCATGCTCCTAATCAACCGTCCAATCACGATTTGGGGCAGTGTTGTCGGTTGACGTTGACGAACACGTCTCCCGATCAAATTAAACGTACGACACTAAAGCAAAGATACGCTAAATAGTAAATCTTATGCAAGAACCAATAGGAAACAAACATGGATAGGATTAACCAGCAAGCGGCAGTTTTCATCAACCCTTTCTTGCAGTGTCAAATTTGACAATGAACCCCTCCCACGCGTATGGCGCTATTGCGTGTCGCATATGCAGCTCAGTGGTTCTGTTGGGGCGATAAGTTCTTCATCTGTGAACATACTCTCAAAGCATGTGAAGTGTCCATAACTTATTATCATATCACAACCTGCATAGGTATTTGCATTTCAATATCCCCTACTTTTTTTGAAGAGTATATATAATCCCAAAAGTGTATGTAAGAAATGAATAAAATGAAATGGGGTTTAACGTCCTACTGTTCTCCTCTGACTTGGACAGTTCCTAAAGGAACTAGGGCTAATGCAGTGTGCTATTAGTAGCATGTGCCAACCAAAATTCAGCTCTTGAACAAGAAACCTGACATAATAATCATCAATCTGTTTCAACGTTTAAAATCGGTTCAGCACTTTTTTTGTAGGTGGTTTTATATACCCATAGGTAAGCAGGTTTTCCAAAATTCCTTCAAAAACGAACAAAAATGATAAAATAATATTTTGACTGACTGAATGAATTTGGAGCAGGCCCGTACATCCACGAAACCTGTGTTAAAATGTTCCTACTGATCCCGAATGATGATATCAATCCTTCTGACTAGTCAGTGTGGGGACTAACCCACTTTTGAGTATGTCAAAGGTCACAATTGGTCGACAAGCACAAAATGGGTATCAAAGTGCCCCCCCCCCCCCGGGGGCCAAAATTAATCCTTCCGAGTGATCAAACTTTCCATATACCAGCATGATTTTGGAAGGAAATGGCTACAGATTTGTTTTTCAAATTTAGTGTGAAGTATTGTGGTCAGGAGAGGACGAATCCTAGCAATATACAACGTCCCGCGACCTTTCGTACCAGAGTTTGGCCCCTTTGTGCCCACCTTGCCGAAAACCTTTTTTCAAATTTGGTTGGAAGCAATGGGTTCATAAGAGGATGAATCCTAGATTTCTTCAAGGATCTGTTTTGTCTAGATTTAAAATATTTTTTATTGTGAGCCAACTGACAATTCATCAGTTGTAATAGATTATATTGTTTCTTAATCAAATTTTATACTTATAGATGTAGTTAAAATCGTTTACAAATAAAATATTTCATTGCCATTGTTTTGCTGAATATTTATGTCATTGAATTGATTTGGCGAGAGGACGCCGGCTACTTTGTAAATAATTTATTTCTATATAATAACATGTAATTGTTGGCAATATCACCTCAGTGGAAATTGACGTCAAATAAAGTCATTTCACACACACACACACACACACACACACGACGCCGGTTTGGCACACATAAAATACGCTGCGGGTTCAGCTTCTGAATTCCCTGTCCAGACCATGGACGATTATTAGAAATATAGCAGGTTTTGTTTAGTATATGAGTCTAGCGCATTCAATAAGATAAGATGTTTATTGCATCAAGACATTCATTAAGGACATCATGCATACAGGCCTATACACGTACATTTAGACAAAGTCATATACATTTGATAATACCTAATATAGAAAACACATACATGACATGTATCTAAAGAGTTTGAACTACATGTAGTTACCACTAAATTGGATTTAGATATCTTTTCAAAGGCCAAAAACACTTCTAAAGCCATTGCCCTGGCAATCGATTCTGGTGGGTCAAAGAGATTAATAAAATTGTAGGAAATCTCAGGATTTGCTGAGAAGGTTGAGTGTAGATGGGCTTTAACGTAGTTCTTCATACTTGCTACAGTTTAGCAAGAAGCGTCACTCGTTTTCGATCGAGTTTAAGTCACAAAATTTGATCAGCAGGAATAATTTTGTATTGGCCCATCTCTAATCATAATAATAATATCTATTTCTTATCATACCCATCACATCATAAAACTTTCTCAATGCATAGTACAAAAACATTTAATATGACATAAAACAACGTAAAAACTAGAACTGCGATGCAGTAATGACGGGTTTCACTGGTGCAACGTCACCCGTGAACTGACCTGACCTGACCTCCCGTCGCAATGCAAACGTTAAACAGATTTCCACTTGAGAATTGCACACGTGTAATAAAATGGATGCAGAACTAGCCAATAAATCCAGCAATATCAGTTCCATTTATAGAACGAAGACTTGGATTACAGAAATAACCACTTCGATAAAAATTTGAACAGAATCAGCACTTAATATCGATCGACTCTAAAACATGTTCTTAAACATCTATGAAAATAAATCGCATTAAATGGCAGAAAATTTATTTAGTGTACAAATATTAAATAAATCATTAACAATTACCCTAGTATCACCGGTGAAAAAAATCAGCAGAAATAAGATAAAAATAGTACCAGCTTTTTACAGTAAATTACCTAAAGGTGAAAACAAGTGAGGTCTTTTAGTTCGCCAAGCAATAAAGCTCAGGAAAAAACTGCTGTCCACACTGAATAGACCCAGTTGAATATTGTTCACCATAAATACACATATTATTCTTCTACAACAGCAGACAGTTTTCTATATTGCATACCAGTCGGTTTCATTGAGCGAGATAAATTAAAAAATGCTTTTTGTCTGTTGGCAGCACCTGGGGTCTTAGCTACAGGTGCTTGCGGCGGTTTTGTAACTGTTAAGTCTCGTATTGGTGGCAATGGTTTTAACGCGGGTTTCGAAACCGGTTGATCTTTTTTACGTGGCTTTGTAGAACTTTCAGGCATTGCGAATTTTACGGATTTGGGTTTAGAGCGTCCGATAATTATTGGTGGTAATTGGATTTCTGCAGCAGATTCCTTTTCTTTTACAGCTTTATCAAGTTGTCTCTGTGTTTCGCGTGAAGCTTTTATGAGAACCAGGTGTGGTGGAATCGGCGATAGTGGTGGCGGTGGAAGATATGATTGAGAAGGTCGAGGCGAAGACGGTTCATTAGGATCTGGAACTGGTGATCTAGGTGGTATAAGCAAGAGTTCCTCTAGGTGTGGTCGATGTTTATGACCTTGGTGCATGTTATTCTCCGGACATGGTGATGTAGGCGGCTGGACAGAAACAATTGGAACATCAGATATTTTTGGAATTTGGGAATGGGGTAGCTGAAGAGTGTCTTGATGGGATACTTCTGGAACTGGCGAACGCGGGGGATGTGGAAAACCATTCTGGTTGTCGTCTTGATAATGATCTTCGGGTAATTCTAGTAGCGAATTCTCGTTAAATCCAAAGTAAGGTGACATCTCCGACTCGAAATATTGGGGAGGTATGGGTGATAACAATCTCGGCCTAACACCTGAAGGTGATCGTGGAACTTGAAGACCGAAAGAGTTTTCTCTCTCGGATTCCACAAAACTGGGTTCAGGAGTTAGAGGCAAAACAGGGAGTGGTATGTATGTTCTGGCGAATTCTGGAACCGCGAACAAACTTTGAGGTGCGGCTTCATCTTCAGCTGGTGAATATTTTATTGTTATAGACGTTTCTTTGTGTTCTATGTGTTCTTTTGTTTCTTCTTCCTGTAAATCTTCTAGTTCTTTGATAGACGTGCGTTTCATATGAGATTTCTTGGGCAGTGGGAGCAATCCCTTTTCTAGCAATCTTTTCTTAGTCTTTTTCTTTACTTTAGGAATTCGAAACCGCCGTTTTTTAACCTCAAGTTCTGAGAGCCCTCGTATATGTTTTGCTTTCTTTTTGTCTAAACTGATAGATGTTATGGCCTCCCTGCCCCCTTTTCCGTCACTTTCCATGATCATTGGTTGGGTTATCACATTCTTTCCCAGGGGATCCACGTGAAAATCAAAATTATCATGGGATTTGATATACTTCTGCTCATTCATACGATTTCGAACATGGTCAGTATAATTATGTAATTTAGCTTTTCGTAAATCATTCTTAAAATAATCTCGATTAACCTTCACTTTAGCAATTTTGTCAAATTCTTTCAGAAGGTCGAGTCTGTCATTTATTAAACGTTTCAAGGCGAACAACCATTTTTTATCAATCTCTTTAATTTCCATTTCCAGCTCTCGTTGTTTCCTTATATTTGAAATGGCAGCATCTGCTGCAGCCTCTGCTGCCACAGTTTGCATGCAAAACAGTGAATTCATATTTGGGTCCAACTGCAGATACCTGAAAGATAGAAAAAATATATAGGCATAAACTATTAAAATTAAAAAGTAGTCTGGACGCGAGGAAATAGCCCTTACTATCTAATTTTAAATCTCGGGGTTCACTACTATACTTATGTCCATAGCAAGTCAAAATCTAACTCTTGTGGAATGTCCCAAGAATTCTAACCTTTATTTCAGTTAAGAGCTCAACTATATGATGAAGGCAATTGAATATTGTGTTCTATTTCGGCCACTTCCCGCGTCGCGCGTCGCCTTTTAAAAACGGGAGATTAGATAAAGAGCTGGCAGTTCATACTATAATAGATAAAATCTAGATAATGTAAAGGGGATATGATGAAAATTTCAGTCAGAATGATTCACTCTGAGCCGAGAAATTAGTGATTGAATTTTCGGCCTAGCCTCGATCATCATTACTAAAGTCGGTACAATAAATAACTTAGTCCCGATTATCCTGGGCCGCCACATAAGCTTGTGAGGGCCCTGCTAGTAGCTGACATTTGTTCCCATATTTCATTCAATGATTACAGACTGTGTCTAGGTTAACTTGTGCAGAAGTGAATCTTGGATTCTTTCAGCATCGATCTTTATCTGATTTCTTAAGGGTTGCTAATATATTCGTCGTAGGATATCCACAGATACTCAGTGCCGGACTGGTGGGCCGAGGGCCCACCTGTCAGGTCATTGACCAAGGCCCACGCAAGTACACGCCGAAGGCGCGTCACGGGCACGCCGAAGGCACGCGAACGTCCGAGGGTGGTCGGGGGGAGGGGGCTCCCCCTGGAAAATTTTGAAAATTGACAATCGCAAACCCATTTTCCAAGCATTTCAGACCAAAGCGAAGAAGGCATTTTTTTTTCTCCTGTCATGTGTCCTGCCCTCTCCTTCCTTCTTTCTTTCTTTCTTTTCTTTCCTTACCCTCTCCTTTCTTTCTCTTTTCTTTTTTTCTTTCTTTTTTTTCTTTTTTTTTCTTTATAGGCTTAGGCCCACTTTTTTTTTAATGAGCTTAGGCCCACCTGTCACGGACAGGTGGACAGGTGGGCCCAGTCCGGCACTGTTCATACTATAAGTAATACAACACTTGATAACCTATAAAACAACTGTTGTACATAACGGAAACCATACCCTCTCATTCACACCAGAGTTTGATTTTAAGTTTAGAACAGGGATTTAAAACATAACATATAATCTTGATATTATAGAGATATATAAAGGATATTAATGGCAATTCCCTGTGTCCAATATAAATTACTGTATTGAAGATAAAACACCAAACGGCAAATAAACTGCAAATTAATTCTCCTGGTACATGCGCATTTCATCACCAAAACTATAAACAATATCCGTCTAGAAAAAGGGATGTACAACGCGTCGCCTTTTTAAAAGCGATGTCGTGATAAAAAGTCGACGTTATTTTTTTTTTCTCTGTAGCTTAACATTGAAAAAGGCAACGGAAGTCGCGCGACGCGGATTTTGAGTCGCGCGTCGCTTTATTCAAGGAAAGTGGCCGAAATAGAACACCATAATTGAACGGCAATACACCATTAGTACAAATGTTAATTTTCCCAAGGAATTCTCCGAATCGGCGTCTCTCTACCTCATGATCATTCCGCCTTAAAATTAATAATATTCACAAAAAATCTGGCAGGAAATCAAAATTCAAACCCCTTCTTATAAATTCTAACGCAAAAACAGACATGCTCCAAATAAGCGGCTATTTACTTCCTGACTTTTCCGCTTCAAAATAAGTAATATTTATGCTAAAATATGGCAGAAAAAAACGAAAATGGACAAAGAAAGGACTGAGTAAGAAGGTAAGAAGTTGAGTAAGGAGTGATCCCCCTTGTCAATGGAGAAAAACAAAGTGCCTGGCAAGGGGAAACGTATGGCCATTCGTCTGGGACCTAAAATCGATATCCTGTGTAGATATCGGCGTGCACGTAAAAAAAAATTATATTAGAGTAGGCCGTAGCGCCTCTATCCAGGTAAAATTTTCCCCATAGCACACTGTATAGCGCGTCGTCATTATCCCAGCTGGAGCAGAACAATAGGACATCAAACCTCATTTCATTTAAACAACTCAACCAAATAAATCACAACAACAAATATCACACCTTAATTATGCCACAACGAAAGAAAACACCGGAAAACATTTACCTTATACTATCATAGCTTACAACGCATTATCCGCGTCAAAATATGAAACATATTCATATAGGACCTTGAGTTTGCGGGAGCTAAATGGTTTTCTTTCTGGTATATTCCGAGAAAGAAATATATCCATTTAAAATGGACAGTCATTATATCTCATGTGTATACTGTGTTTTCTATGTTAAGAAAGCAAGACTATTGTAAAATAATGTTCTTAGCAGGAAGGTATTTCTATTATCTGAAATCGATCAGTTATTTCAATGAAAAGATTCTCCATTAAGACATCTATAAATAAAAGGTGTTCAAACATTAAAACGCATTTGGCTTCAAAATACAAAAACAACCACAGAAATACTCCATATTTTTTATACGCGCGTGTTGGTTCAACTGCATGGTTTGGTTTAAGTTTCGTATGACGTAACATATTTTAATCTAATTTTGCTAGTTAAATTTGTTCAAACTCTACGATCGCCATTTTTAAATATCTAAATAAGTAACGATCAATATTATCAACAATAATAATAAACACGTCATGACTATCGAAGTATTGAACGTCGCGATAGGTTTACATGTAAACGAGAATTCAACAAATATAGGTTGGGTGATGTCAGTTTCGAGTAATTGACACTACTACTACTAATTTCAAGAAATTGAAACGCGTTGACAGGTCAATTCAGCGATGAATTATGATTTAAAGGTCAAAATAAAATGGGTTGACATTGACTTGCTATTTTGATGGTGCCAAGCCCAAACGATTCACATTTATTTCGAAGGATAAGCTAAACACTATAAGCTATATAATTAAGTATTCTACTAACTTCAAAACTCGCAATAATGACAATAAAAGTAATGCTAATTAGTCTCCCAATTTCAGCAGATGATTTATGCATTGACTATAATCATTACAGATGAGGACTAGCTAACGTTTTGGGGTTTCTTATACCAATTTTAGTTTCGTTTTTTACTACTAATCAAACATCCGTTATATTCCCTCAACAGTGGATTAATATACAGGACAGGTGTCCTATATAAATTCTTAAATCTTTAAATATAAAGCTGAAAACGGTAAATAATTAGTAAAATATAGTCGTCTACTATTGGTTTTTAATCTGATAGTTTTCACTATTTACCTGCATGTATGCACTCTGTTTTCGGTTACTTCTTAAGATCAATTACATATATTATTTGTAACTTTTACTTCTACGGCGGTCTTTCTTATCGCTCATACATACAAATTAGTAAATACCTATATTTATATACAACTATGAAATACCTACATGTACTCATACTAAGATATAGAAAACATCGACACCTTTGTTATTTTCTATGTATCAAACTACATAAAGAACTTTTTTATGGAATTTGCACTAACGTGTTAATAATGAGCCCCCATGTGTGAAGGTATAATATAATAATCGATACAAAACGCCATGACAGATAATGTCTGACAAACAGTCATCCATTATGGGAATAATTATTGAGAGAGAGAGAGAGAGAGAGAGATTCGTCCGCATAAATGTTATAGGCTATTCAGTAGTATCGAATATTTTGAATTCTAAAACCATAAGAGTTGTAATTGATGTTAGTAAAATCTACTTAAATTCTTCTTTTCGGTTTATCATTTATCTCTAGAATAAATAGTTATAACGTTACACCGAACCCCCTTGATTTCAGAACTATACTCGTAATTTCTAAAGACAAGGAAGGATATCGTAATCCCTATAAAAACTTTCATTGTGTCCAAATTTAACCGTTTGATGCAAAACATAACACCTTTAACTCAAATAAATGGATTTCATATTTTTTGATCAATTGCAGATTGCTGCTCCGAGGTATTTGGCTGGCAGATTTTTCCGAATTAATATGATGAGTTAGTACTCTATCTGGAGAATGGAAAGCAATGTCCGCAGGGAAACACAATTGCCGATAACAATATAATTATGCAACGAAATGTCTAAATCAATATATATTTTTTAAATAGTAAAAATAATTTACACCTTTTCCTGGTATAAAAAGTAATTGATATTAGAGTACATGTGAGTGTTAGCCTTAGACGTAATAGTTACTGGGAATACGATTACGCCATCCTAGTGTAGTGTGCGCCTAAAATGAGTCTGCGGTGAATCAGTGGGTAACGATTTGACTACCATAACCAGGTTGTCCCTAATTGGCCAAGAATTCACATTGCCATTGGTGCAGGACTGAAGTCGTGGCAAATAATATCATCTAGTCGTTCGGATGGGAGGAAAAACTGAGGGCGTATGTACACGTTGGTATGCACGTAAAAGAACCCTAGTCAGAATTCAATTAAGAGTAGGCCATTAAAAATTTCGCCGATGGCACACTGCATAGTGAAAGGTCGTCTTTGATAAACTAATTGGTGCCGAAAAGTAGAACGTTAGTAAACCCCACATAATATGGAAATGTGCATCCCAGTGTGGCCGATTTGGGTATGGGGGATAGGTGCCTGTGTGATTATGTATTTTAATATTCTTGATAATTAACATACGAAGTATCCTGTTTCCCTCTAAATAGAAGTTCCAGTTCTACTTGTATATTAATAGAATATAAGAACCCCATAGGGATCACGATGGTTCGGACACCCTCTATCAGTCAACCAGAAGATCGAACGAAATGGATAGCTTTGTATGATCCTTTTAGAATGTCGTGTTTCCAGATGAGAGAACGAGAGTGAAAAGGGGGTTTAACGTCCACTTGACACAAACTAGGTAATTTCGGAACTAACATACGGCTCTATTTTATTATATTTAGGTGCCTTTAGCAGTTGAGGGAACCGGGGGACCTAGAGAAAACTCAAGAGGTTGGACAGGCGACCCTACCCTTTGATAAAGCTTAAGAGCCATTGCCGCCCCTCTATCCCCCGCGAAAGTAGACGGCACGCCAGCACGACAAAATAGTGACGACGCCCTCCACGCCAGACGCAGACCACAAATTACGCTTAAAAGGCAAAATTTTAAATTCACTATAGAATTACAAAAAAAAGGTAATCACCGTGCATGACTTATAACGAAAAAATGATTTCATTGGTTTATTTTTCATTTTGAACTGTTTTAGTATGTTTCTATAAAAAAAAAGGGCGTACCATACAGAGTAATAAAGATGGGATTTTCCCCTTCAGAATCACGAGACTTCCATCAATATAAAGATATCTCACAAATCCGGTGACCTCATATCATACACTGTCTGAATCTTTTTAAAATTGGCTCTCAATTCATAGATATAATTTTCATGGATAATTTAGGAGCTGCATATTAACATGGAATACAGACGTTAAAACTTTTAGCCGTGGGAACTTACCAAATGAATTAGAAGTGGTACAACACACGACACTGCTTTTCACCACCATGGAACACCTACAGAAAAGAAATGAATACATAAGTACATTATGTGAATCGTACACTTTTCAAATTTGATAATATACTAAACAGCAAAAAAAAACCATCAATACGATTTCAAACTCAAAGAGGCACTTTAATCAAATCATTCTAGAAAACGACTTACTAATTGGATCAAAGCAATTTTTTGTGAACAGTATGTTGACACATTAGTGATTAATTCATCACAAGACATTACGAGAAGGTTTAGAGCCTGTACACAGTCTATACATCAGTATCTGGTGTGTCAACCGCGAGTGTCAATAAAAGCAGCGCAGCGTCTGTACATGGAGAGGACCAGACGATTGATGACGCCATTGTTACCTGGAACCACACTCTCAGAAAAGCCTGGCGCAATCCATCGGCTATGTTTGGTCTCGGTACAACGTTATTAAGTCTCCTCTGAATTTCATCCCAAAGATGTTCAATCGGGTTTAAATAGGGACTAAGGGCTGGTCAGTGCATAATATTGACACCGTTCTGCTGTAGAAAGTCCCGAGTAACTCTGGCGATGTGAGCACGGGCGTTGTCATGCTGGAAACGTTGTTTCGATGACGTGCGAAATGTGGTATAACGTGGGGTCTGAGAGATTGATCGATGTAGCGCACTACTGTGATGCCTCCTCCTCTCCCTGGACCAAGATTTTGAAACACAACATGGCCCACTCTCTGGTTCGGGCCGATTTCACCCCAAATCATTATGCTTATACCTCCCCAGGAGTCTCGTTCTATGACACATTAGTCAGAATAACGCTGGCCACGTCGACGCCATATTCTGATCCTCCAATCTGCAGTTGATAGGCAATACCGACTCTCATCTGTGAACAGAACAGTTCTCCATTGCCTGTGTCGCCAGTTCTGGTTTTGTTGGGCAAACTGTAGACGTTCACGTCGATGGCGAGGGGTGATAATCGGCCCACGGTAAGGTCTACGGCAATGGATGTTCTCTCTAGTGAGACGTCAGCGCAGTGTATCGGTACTGATGGATCTTCCGTGTGTTCACACTGTCTGACGTGCTGTCTCAGATGCCTGTATGAAGGGATTCTACACGTGCTGTCGTGCAACATGGCGTTCTTGGTCTACCAGTTCGGGGCGATCATCCGCGGTGTTGGTGGCCCGAAAATGTTGCTGAAGCCTGTAGATGGTCCGAACATTGACCTGGAAGTGATTGGTAACGGCTTGAGCAGTGTGGACGTTATAATGTGAATGATTCAATCAGGTATGGGGCTGCATTTTATAGTGTTGGTCCCGGTGAACAGCGCGTGCAGCATGAAAATCATGGAGAACACATTACCATTTGTGAATACAGGTTAGGGAAGGAGCCTTATTTCTCAGGTAAATTTTGAGATGTGGTTAGAAATCTACAATAAAAACATTTGGCAAGTTTTATACAATGCGTCTATTCAGAGTAACATACCAACCTGACGTTTCTTTTGCTGCTTAGTACATATTAACGCGGTAAAAGGTATAATTGGAGGAAATATTATTTATTACACATGCCTGTAAAACATTTAGCAATAATAACGATAAGACAATATCTATAACTTACCCGTATCCTTCATGTAAATAGAGATTTGTTGCCTTAGGAAATAAACCTAATCGTTAGACAGCGATAACATTAAAACGACTGAACTAGTAACACGATATTAGCTGTTGTGAATCAACAGTAGGGTGCCGTATTATCCATTAGATTAGTAGTGTATATATATCTTATTGATAGGCAAATACGATCTTTTTCTTGAAGACTAAACCGATAGTCAATCTAGTATGTGTGCTTTAACAAATGGCCAGTTAGTACTCATGTTAAGTATAGTGTCAAGTAGCAGAAAAGGCGCGCTATTCTTTGTTAGAATATGTATTCATATTTTGTTAGTGCCATTATAACAGATAAATACTTAACCTTACCATATAATAGAAGTAAATGTAAGTCACTGGCTTATATATTTATACATGAAGTCAGAGTTCAGAAAAGTGAACTATAATGGAACGAATTAAATCTTCTTCAAGAATAGTCTAGAAAACGATTAGGCATCTTTCTATGAAGTTATTGTTAAATGCGTACATGTATATTGGTAATATAGCTAATATAAATATAATATATTATTTGTATTATTGAAGTAAACTGACACAAAATAGTCAAGCCATCTTTATTTCAAATTTACTTGAGCAGACGTTAATATAAATTTTAGTCTCAATTCAAAAATTATATAGTTAGAACCTAAACCAGTAATATTGTACGTGTCCCCTGTCAGCCCCACCCCGACTACTTTATCTAGTAGGGTACATGCATATGTATATTGGTCCTTGTATTGATTTTGCATGTAATATTTGTTTCCTTCAAATTAAGAGGAACAAATCCTCGAAACCCAGTTGGTACAAACAAGTGAAATGGAATGAAATGGGTTTAAAGTCATACTGTGCAAGAAAGTGACAAGTTATTTCACGCCGAAGCAAACCGCTTGAAGGGAGACAACTTGCATTTATAATTGGAAGCAAAGGACCAACGTTTTGCCACTAACTGTAATCCGGTTATCCTTCATTACTCATGGATATTCTAGATCAAAACCTCAACAAAAATAACCATAGTAAAAGAGTTTGTAGAGCTGTATTCGGCTGTCTCACAATGGAAAAAACTAGTAATTTTCTCATCATTGACCACAAAGTTAAATCCAACCCATTTCCATTTTCGTATCCCCAGTGGTAAATGTTCCATTCTACTCCACTAACCTCTGGTTCCATCCACGGGGGAGACATAGTAAAATTATCCACGCTTGATACTTCTGCTTTTATCGGCTAATCGAGTGGGCAAAGGCAAGTTACTGGTGAACGTAAACAAAACCGCTAAGACTGCTATGTAAACTGGTTTTGATTGGCTCGTAGAATCAAGCTACGATCAAGTGCGGGTAATTTGAATTCGTGAAAACCCCGTATATGAAGGTTAGTGAGGTAGAACGGAACGCTACCACTGGGGAAGCCGAGAATGACCCATTTCTTGAACAATAACAGGGGGTTTTTTAACAGTTCGATTATTTTAATCTTTATAACGACAAAGAGTCTAGTATGTCTCAATCAGCTGATAAATATACTCTTCAAAAAAAGTAGGGGATATTGAAATGCAAATATGATAAATAAACACTTGACATGCTTTGAGAGTATGTTCACAGATGAAGAACTTATCGCCCCAACAACCACTGAGCTGCACGTGCGACACGCAATAGCGCCATACACGTGGAAGGGGTTCATTGTCAAATTTGATACTTCAAGTAAGGGTTGATGAAAACTGCCGCGCGCTGGTTTATCCTATCCATGTTGGCTTTCCTATCGGTTCTTGCATAAGATTTACTGTTTAGCGGCGTATCTTTGCTTTAGTGTGTTATGTTTTTTTTTTTGCAATGAGACGTCTTCAACATGATGAACGTCTACGTGCTATTGGCATGCTTCAAATGGGTTCACACAGCAAGAAGTAGCCAACATGCTTAATGTGTCACAGTCTGTGATCAGCAGACTGTGGAACCGGTACCAACAAACACACAATGTTGATGATAGACCTCGTTCAGGTCGTCCTAGAGCCACTTCACAAGCCTGAGATCGATACATTCGTACACAGGTCCTGCGAAATCGATGACAAACAGCCAGCCAGCTTTCTGTAAACTTGTACCAAGTTACAGGAATTCGAGTTACACCCCAAACGATTAGAAATCGGCTACATGCAGCTCATTTGCATGCGCGACGACCGCACGTTGTGCCTCCATTAACTCGCCAGAACATGGCAAACAGGTGTCAAGGGTGTAGGCAGTGTAGAAATTGGGGTAATCGTCGATGGGCGCGTGTAATGTTCTCAGATGAGTCCAGATTTTCACCGACAGTCGTGCTTGCGTTTGGAGGCGTGTAAATGAGCGTCATGCTAACGTTAACGTCAGACAGCATGACAGAATCGGGTGTGGGTCTGTTATGGTGTGGGGAGTAATCACCATGACTGGCAGAACGGACTTGCATATTGTTTAAGGAAGGGTCACCGGTGTGTACTACCGTGACCACATCCTGGCACCGATAGTTCTGCCCTTTGCTCAACGTTTCATCTTTCAAGATGATAATGTCAGTGCTTACCGCGCTCCTTTCGTGAATGACTATCTCCAGCGTCACCAAATTGTCCATATGCCTTGGCCAGCCATGAGTCCTGTCTGAGGATTGGTGGAGCAATTACTCATTATTAAGACAAAAATCAAAAACGTCCATTTTCACTTTTGACAGTGTATCTCTTTGCGAGTGAAATGGGGCGGGCCGTCATTTAAACCGCCCATATGAACTGTTTATGTTCATGTGTAGGCAATTGTCCTGTTATTAACATACACTGGTTACCTCTAATAAAAACAGCAGTGCATTTCCGCAGTCTTGTATTGTTTCTGAATATCCCCTTTTTGAAGAGTGTATATTGGTCAAAGGAATATATAGATTGTGATGTATTTAGCAGGTAAGTCCCATAATTCATGAGTATTCACCAAAACTGGACAGAAATTTAACAAAGGGTGCCATGCAAAAGGTTGCAAAAGTTTGGGAAAGGGAGATAGAACAAATTGCTATAAATCGACTAAAAGGGAAATAATTACCAAATTTTGCACCTAGGTTCTTTTCTTAAATGAATTAAATTAATGTTAAATTTAGACCATACATGACATATACATGTACCATTATTCGAACCAGCAGATAATAAGTACACATTCAAGATCCCCAAAGTTTCCCTTTACCGTAGTTGATTGTACTACTTAATGACGGCCAAATTAACTGTAGCACGAAAATATCACATGTCTTAAAACGTTACACAATTTAACTTTTTACGGCTTTCTTTTTAGCTTAACTTAATAACAAAAGTGAACAGCGAATATAAGGGAACTTTATTATCTATTACAATGTAAATATGATATTTTACATTTAAAAGTTACAAAAACAAAAATTAGACATACAAAAACTAATAAACTCATAATTATGAATCTGTTAACAAAAGTTAAATTTTGTGTAATCTTTGAATAATTGTTTTTGCTATATATTATTTTCATTTCATGGCATTTTATTATTGAAAAAGTCTTTTCGGTTAGTTTATGTTCACAGGTTTGTGCTTGGGTTATATTTATAAAACCAGTTTCCTTTTCATAAAACAGATTTTTTTTCTTAACGTGTCGGTAGAAACGGTTGGCATATCTACCAATAAGTAGGTTTCTCCTCGAATATTTACCGTCGATATATCTGCTGCAACTCTTTCTTTCACTAATAATAAAAGATCACTAAGTGGGAGAAACTCTCCATATTCATACAACACTTTTCCCAAACAATTAATAAACGCCGATCCTTCCTTGTCATTAGCGATGGAAACATGGCCTGGAATATAGATTAGTAATATAGAACGAATAAAATGTGGCTAAGTTTACATGGACAAAGTTTCTGTGACAAAAAGAATATGACAAATAAAATGTGTCTTAGTAGCCGCATTCACACAGAATCATATTGGTCAAAATTGTATAAGGAGCAAAGAAGGTTTGCCACAATTACCATAGAATTTAAAGATTGTTTTTAATTTAAAAATTGTTTTTAATTTAAAAGGCACAGATACTTGACACAGAAAACTTTATGATTCCTCAAGATTAGTATACCACATGCTAGTTTGGGTTTAAAAGACATGTGTTGTGGAGGGGGGGGGGGGTGCGTGTGTGTGTGGGTTTGTTTTTTTTTGTTTTTTTGTTTTTTTGTCTATCTTAATGTAACTTTATGTTTACCTTTAAAACAGGAATAAAATATCAGAATATCAGACGGTGTTGGTATTCGAGGAGATTCTTCATCTTTTCGACTGAAGAAACAGGAAAGATTATCTTTAACTGCTACACCCGAATCCATAATATTACCGCGACATGCCTAGATACATAAGAAATATATTACGTGTGTGATAACGAATATTATTCCATGCCTTAAGCCAAAGTAGTGGCCCAAGCTAATCTTTAGTGAATAAAACTGGATAATGCGGAGTGAAAGACTCTTACAAACCAGTATCTTCATCCTGTACAACTAACATAGTGATTCTTTATCGACGAAATACAAACGTTCGATTTCCATGTGGAGTATTTTGTGTATATCTTGGATTAGTAATAAACCGCACTACTTACATTTATAATAAATATTTTAGGTTTTCCAGCTAAGCTACGGCAGCTGTTGGCTTTAAACAGATCAACTATATCGTGTATATGAACATGTGTATAATCATCATTGTAACCATAATCAGTTCCACATATCCCATATTCACTACCGTGTGACATCACAGTTACGACAAGACAATCAGCTTCACTGTGATCCTCAGAAGCCACTAAATTAAGAAAAACAGTAGTGGATTAAATTGGAATTCATTATCAGGAATATATCTTTTAAAACATCAAAACCGAGTAGAAATAGATTTTTAGTAAGTTTTTAGAAGTATTTTGACTATCTGATTAAAAAAGGGTGCTTTTCCATTCGTATTTCTTTTTATATTCCGTAATCATATTTTACCAGATCATAATGACGAAACGAAATAAGGGGGTCTTTTTACTTGCACACAATACTATATAAATATATATATATATATATATATATATATAATATTTAGAAATCCACATTCATTTCGTCCATTGAAAAAAAAGGAATGTGCCAGTAAACTAATTAGACCAGCATATTGTGTAAAACCGTTCTCTTAATTTTATTCTCTCTTGAATGCACTCTATACCTTTTTGGAGTCTGTCCATTATTTCTGCTTTACTCAAATCATCATGGGTTTCTACTTGAAAACGAAGTTTCTGTAAACCTTTAGTGAGGCATTCAACACTATTTTGGGACCCTTTGATAGGTCTCAAATTAGAATGGGGAAATTCTTCATTGTTGATAATGACTGCTTTTCCGCGTCTTGGGTGATCCATCTTATATTCAGATGCCACTGAAATGAACAATTTATAATTCAATACTTTTATAGATCCTTCGAAGTCCCCTCTAGCCTGTCCCACGCCCCCCCCCCCACATATATTAAAGTAGCTCTTTGAGATATAAAGGGGTGTAAAAAAAATATTGAAAAACTTACTTCCTAAGTATATGTGTTGTCCTTCTGTAATCTAGAAGATAAAGACGTTAAATGTTGTTATATAAATATAATAAATGTTTAACAAGGTGGCGGTGTTTTATCGTAGCATCTTCTGATTCAGATTTTGATATCTAGGCGACGACTTAGGAACTTCATAAATAAGTTATAACCCTTTGTATATTGGACGCTAAAACACCATTATAACTTTACGAGAATTATAAAATGGCTATATAATATTAACATTGGTATGTTGAATGCTAATAGAATTACTATCAATGTATTTTTTTTGAGTACATGTATTATAAAAAAAAAACAGTTTTATAAACAAATTTATAACGTTATTGTTGATTAAGCTGGTATTATTCATAATTAATGCATTAATAAATATTGATAAATAACCAAAGCAAAAATGTTGATAAATAATGTTGTAGACTACTTGTATTTACAAATATGATAAACAATCAAGACAAGTATAATAAAAACAATAGAAATTGTCTAATTTGTCGATTCTTACCTTGATATAAAAACTTTCTTCATAAGATTTAATACAACTTACTAAGAAGTACACACCTGGTATTCATACCATTTAAGTTTGTTTGAACCCTAATCTACCGTGTTAATATTTGTACATGCAAAAGTTTGTATTGCATAGAAAAATATAACGCAACAGAGTGACATGTGGATTAAGAATCGCGGGTCGAGCAAATCTTCTATTAATAAATAATATGTTTTATGTAGGTATGTTATTTAGTTAGTATAAAGCTAATTGAATATTAAACATAGTCTGTCAATAAAATGAAGATCCTCTATTATGTTGCCTGGTTTGAATTCTCTTGTGTTTATGCTATTGTGGACATATCAGCTGTCAAATGGATTACATGTTATTTTCATTCAAAATCATTTCTTTTGTTTGGAATATCTCAACAAACTTATAATATAGTATTTTATATGGTATTTTGTTTTATTCATGCTCGCATAAATTTAAAAATAGATAAACAGATGTTTAACCTCTACTCAACACAAATTATTTCATTTCGAAACTAACATAACCCCTTTCGCGCAGGTTATTCAGCACTTGGTAAAATCCTATATCCCAGAGACCCCATGAAATTTGGCGGGCGATCCTACACCTTGTCAAGCCCGACCTTAAGGGCACATTTCCTCCCCAATCCCCATTCACCCAATTCCCACGATGAGTATAAGTCTATTATTTCCAATCTTAAGTTGAGAATAAAATTTTGAGAGGGGAGTGTAATTTTCAGATGTTCAGAAAAATAGTAGCCTATATAACAAGGAAAAATAGACAACCGTCCTATTAATCGTTTACATAGATGATGATGATAGGCTTACAGGTCAAGATATTTCATGTACGGGGTACATCGTTTCCACAGTTTTCTAGTATTATTACAAGACATATCCAGGGGAAAGGATTGCAACTGTCATGGAGCTAGACTATGTCTTTGTGTCATATAATGGGTTATTTCAATGACTAATATTGGTCTCCAAATTTGGTTTAATATCTAATCTATCAGAAATATAGCTACGTAGTTAACCTTAAGAATTAGACAAGGAACGAAAAAAAAATTCTTTTAAGTTTAACATTCTCGGCTAACGAAGATGACACGCGTCATGTGGTGCGCTATGAGGGATATTGTGTCCGGGCTAAGACCTACTCTTATTTAGAATTCCAACTGTCAAGGGTTATTTTACGTGCACGTCAACGTGTGCATAGGATCTCGGTTGTTCCTTGCCATGCCCCCGTCTCGCAACACTGGACAGGGGAAACCACACCAGACGTTGACACTGTACGGATGTAAATATAGTATCGTGGCACTTAAAGATGCGTTATGTAAGACCTAAATCTGCCTGTTGCAGGTCTTTATTTTGGCTTCAAACGTTATATAAACTATTATGTAGGTATTTATTCACATGACAAGTCTATAATCAACTCTCTAGATTATCGGATGGTGGAGATTTAAACGGATTAAAACATGGTCGCGATTTAATGTGTTATTTTAAAAATGGCGAAGCGAAGCTAAGTCTCGACTAACATGTAGCGTAGTAACGATAATAAACAATCTATGCCACATCTTGTGAAAATGTCTCTAAGAATAAAGAAATTTGAATGAAATTTTCAAAATATTCATTTTGCATTATCTTTTATTGAACTATTACAGCAAGACCGGTCAGCTCTTTATCTAAATCTTATGTAGCCGGAGTTTCCGGACTTTTTTAAACTCGGGGTCTTCGGGTAATTGAGGATGTACAAGCACCATTAGATTTTGAATCAAAACCAAACAAAACCAAAAACACTGAAAATATAAATACAAGCATATTAAAAACGTGCAAAGAACACAGAATTGAAATAGAAATACATATACACAAGAAACTTAAATGATCGTATGAACTAAATATAGACATTTAGCAAAGATAACAGAAGGAAGAAAATCAGAAAATTAAACATACATGTACCTATAATTACCTATATAATTATGGGTGTGTTTTCATTAACGCCTGACTGATTCCTTAACCTCCTAATTAAATATAACAACTGACTATGGGATAATTGGTTTTGTAATTCCTTTTAATTTAAGATCCAATTTAGAATTTGTTTTATGATACAATAACAAAGACAGTCGTGGTAGCCATATTCCCGTGTCCTTTAGATCAGAATAAAATGGAGTAAGCAAACAGTAAACCTGTATAACAATCCGCTTTCTATGAAGACAACAAGATGGGTGTAAAATTGTTATCGACGCCGCTACGAACATCTATGAAGTCAAGAGATAATTAATTGTCGACTTTTACCAAACTAAATGTTTTTTTGGCGGTACTTCTGGAAGTGATTGGCAAAGCAACTGCGCCGAATCGTCTTCGTCTCTGGTCGCTGAACACCAAGAGAGATGGTTCGTTATACATGGAATACAGAGATTGATACTGCCACAGTGTTTTTCTTCTCCAAGAGTCATCAATTTTGTTTTCAAACATGGAAGAAACAGTGACATTCCTAATGTTATAATTAACATTTATTTTAGAAACTCCCAAGATAATAATCTGACATAAAAGTCAACTTTGATATGCCAATGGTATGTTTTATGACTCAAACTCTATCAAGCTACAAATAAAACAAATATAGCTTCGTGCCAGACATCGAAGAAGTGCTTAATATTCAGGTTTTCGCGGATCCATTTACCGATTTGAGTAGCCAACTGTATATCATATTCGTACGGCACGAATTAGACCGTCATTCTCCATGTGGATGCTGTATTTGAATTCATTACTCTAAAAAAGTTCGTAAAAAAATGAAATAGGAAAAATATCTCACTACATACGATTAACAGTAGGCCTACAACCAAATTTGGGCTAATTGATTTTGGTGGTGTACTGGTGGGATTGAGAACGCTGATAAAGTAATTATCAAAGATATAGGTTCACACAAACCTTGTAATATTCTTTTTTTGACGTTGCAAGACTTACCTGGACTAATTGTATATCAAATACAAACTTAGTTAGTGGTCAGGTGTAACTGTCCTACCGTCTCGGGGGGGGGGGGGGCTGGATGGTCGAATGGTTAGCACGCGCGCGCTCTATCATACGGTCTGTCATTGAGTCAACTGGCGGGGTTTCGATTCCCCGGTTGTACGTGACAAGGAGTAGGGTCGCCTGTCTAACCCCGTGGGTTTTCTTCGGGTCCTCCGGTTTCTTCCCACTGCTAAAGACCCCTACGCGCAAGCGTATTATTGAAAAAAAATTGAACTATGTGTTAGTCCCGAAATGACCTAGTTTGTGTCGAGTGGACGTTAAACCCCATTTCTCTCTCCCCTGCCGTCTACTCCCACCATTATACCTTTTTCATTTAATCTGACAATGAAAATCTAACCGGCTTGTTATTCTTTTCATTCTAAATTAATAACTTGGTGTAATATAGTTTGTTGGTTAATCATGTTGCAGCATGGGGTATGTTCATGATCGAGAATGTTTTTACTTTGGATGGAAGAGAAACAACGGCACATTACGTACCTTTTCTTTGCTTGATATTCCACAGCTCTCAACAACACAAAGATTCCCCGGTTGTACGTGACAAGGAGTAGGGTCGCCTGTCCAACCTCGTGGGTTTTCTGCGGGTACTCCGGTCTCCTCCCACTGCTAAAGAACCCTACGCGCAAGCGCATTTTTTAAACAAAACTGAACCATATCTTAGTCCCGAAATGACCTGGTTTGTGTCGAGTGGACGTTAAACCCCACCTCTCTCTCTCTCTCTCTCTCTCTCTCTCTCTTTCTCTCTCTTGTTATCAAACGCAGAAAACATTGAAGAAGACAATAAAATTGTAATATTATGCCGTTTTATTTACTGAAACACAACAGTTAGCTATGCACATTTATCTCAAGTAAATAACAAAAAATCACAAAACATTATTCACAGCTTATAGTTGGACTTAAATTTTAAAAGTTATACCCTTATTCACATTCTATAGTTTGATTTAAATTTTAAAAAAGTTATACCTTGACATATTTAGATGAGCGATGTGATGTGAGTATAAGCATGAATACTTAAAGCGAAAATGTTCCATAGTTTAACAAAGATTGTCAAGGAAAAAGTATGTTATTTCAAACTCCTGGTCAGCTAAGAGCGGATTAACGTCACTGGATATATTTACCGGTTAATGATTAGATGGTGACGACATTTAGAATTATTAAACTTTTGATTAACAGACATTTCATAATCCTGGATCAACTACGTTTTCCAAAGAAAACTTTCTTGCGTAATGTATCATCAATAACTGGCATCTGTAACGACGCACAGACTTTTCCGTTGATTTTTACTCTGGTTATGTGTTTAGCTACTCTGTCTTTCACCATAAGTAAAATATCTGCTAGGCTTTCTTTCTCACCATATTCATATAACATTTTACCCAAACAATATATAAAGAATGATCCATTATCTTCATTTATATGGGATATATGACCTGAAAAATGCCGAGAAAACGATGCTTTTATAAACAGTGATGTGTATGTAACCGTGCTTTTTTTGTTTGAGTTTCAAAGAGTCGCGGGTCATCGTTTGATCATCTTATTGACGTTCCGTCTGGAAGCGAGAATCCTAACATGGACGTTATGAACGTTTGTGAAGCTTTTGATTTAAACAGTCAAATCACCTACAATTAACATTAATAAACACAATAACATATTATGGAACATGCACAATTACTATTTCATTAAAAACGACATTTTCTTGAGTGTCCTCTCAACGTCAGCGAAACGTCGATGTAAATCATATAGTTATTGTGTTCCATAATATGTTATTGTGTATATTGGGTATATAAATTTCTAAATGTCATATAAAGAAATTAAAAATTTAATTACAATATTTCTTTTAAGCTTTCATTTGGGGAGTTTTGTTGACCAAAAGACAATATCTATACGTCTGACACAAGAAATGAATATTATATTCACCATCACAACACGAGAAACAAACTAATATATCAGCTGAAACTGGTATTCTTGCGATGTCTTTAATATGGTTTCCAGGGCCATCTGTCACCTCAACACCTTGGTCTATAAAACTACCACGACACGCCTGTAGACAAAATAAATAGTAATAACTTGTTAGCATCGAATTTGTATTCTTCTAAACCGCATTGCTGAAAGTTTTAGCTGCATCACAGTGAAGAATGAGGC